ATTTTGATTATTGAGGGAATAGTTATCCTGGACCTTCTCAACTTGCATCTAGGAAGGTGTAGCTCAGGTATACCTCCACAGAGATTGGAGTTTCCAAATATTGCAATTGCACTTGCATTTTTTAATATTCATGCTTATGATAATTTACCATTGAAATCATTATGTGATAGGTTCAGATATGACCACAATGGGTATTTGTAAGTTTGATGGTGTTGGTAGCGACAGCGGCTGTGGGCGGTTATGATTTTGGTTTGGGAGTGGGGGTTTGGACAAGAAATGGAGAAGAGGGTGTAGTAGGTAATGATTTTTAAAAAAAAAATTAATTTAATTATTTATTATTTAATGTGAGAAAATTGTAAAGTGTCCTTTTAAAATTGGTCAAAATTAATCAAATTTTTATTTTCTTGGTCAATTAACAGTAAATTGGATGGAATTTATCCATTTGGATCACATGTGTTAATTTTTCAAAAGTTTGGGATCGCTGTTGATACAAACTGAAGGTTAGGGTAAAGTCTAAAAAAAGTCAAAGGTTTGGAACCGCTACTGCAATTTTCCCTTAAAAAACATTACCTTTTTTGTGAAATGGCTCACCTGTGTAAAGGGAGGAAAATGGGCCTAAATCGTTGCTGAATCGAGTCGAAGTACAAGAACGTATTGTTTGATTCAATAGGGCTAATTGATATGGAATTTACATAAAAAGAAAATAAATTTTAGGTAATTGAATTGCTTTAAAATAATTTGCATGAAAATTGTCAATTAAATATGTTTGATTGATTTTGTTTTCAATCGAGAAAAATGTTATAATATTCTATTTTTAATTGTTAGGTAAATGTGAGAGAAAATGGTAGATAAGAGAGTGGATTACCTAGTAAATAAAAACTTACCCTCAATAAAAAAAATTAAGAAAAATAAGGTCATGTGATCAAAATTAAGAAAATATTTTTATGAAAAAAATATCAAGTAAACAGTAAAAAAATAAGAATTTGAGACGTGCTGGACGTCTAGACGTCTATTTGGCGCCCCCTATTGGGGGGTCACCTGTCACTGTCAGACGACCCCCCAATAAGGGGCGTCAAATAGGATCCTGGACGTCCAGTTTTATTCTAAGAATTTAAGTGAAAAAATAATATTTTTTATAAAAAATATTGACAGTCAAATGAAATAGTTGTCAACGCAGCAGCATTATCCTATTTACAAGCCACACATGTCATGTCGATCCAATATTCTCTCTATTTTTTTTTTTTAATATTCTCTCTATTTTATTCTCCGCTTGTTTGTTACCACCAATACATAATCATTTTACATGGACAAAATGCTCCTCAAGACCACCACTACCGCCGCCGCAACCACTACCGTTACCGCCGCATCCTCTTCTATCTTCTCCCTTTCCAAACCCTCTCTTTCTCTATCTAAACTACCCTTTTTCAAACCACATAATTACCCTAATACCACCAAAAAGTCCTCCACTTTCCTTTCCTCCACAAGGATGAGCTGGCTCAACAAGCTCGGATTCAGTACCCGCAATCCGACCGACTCCCCTGCAGACTCTGCATCTTCCATAGCACAAGGACCCGACGATGATATTCCAGCCCCGGGACAAGAGTTCGCGCAATTCGGTGCAGGTTGTTTCTGGGGAGTGGAATTGGCTTATCAGAGAGTCCCGGGTGTTACCAAGACTGAAGTAGGTTATACTCAGGGGTATTTGCATAATCCCTCTTACGAGGATGTGTGTTCGGGTACTTCGAACCATTCGGAGGTGGTTCGGGTTCAGTATGACCCGAAAGAGTGTAGCTATGAAACTCTGCTTGATCTTTTCTGGGCTAGACATGACCCCACCACCCTCAATCGCCAGGTTAGTCCTTTTTTTATTTTTAGTACTTATTTTGTGGGTTTGGGTTGAATTACTATATATATATTTTTTTTCATTTATTAGCTGTAATTCATACTAATTACTTGTTGATTTTTTCCAATACAGCCCACAGTTAAGTTGATTTTTAGGTGAAATGTGCAATTTAAGTTAATTCTTAGTTGAAGTGCACGAACAAACCCTCAAGAAATTGCAATTGCTAACCAAAGATTTTGAGCATTTTGATCAGAAGTTTCCAAAAGGTTTCCTTTAAGTTCCCGAATATTATTGAAAAATGAAAAACAGTAGAAAACTTTTTTTAGAGTTTCCAAAGAGTTTCGTTTCTCAGAACGAAACATGAGAGTTCCGTTTTTGGGCTTTGATTGTTTTGTTCTTTCCTCCTTTTGAATGGTTATGCTAATATTTTTTTTTTGATTAAGTGTACAAGTAACTTAAAACTTAATCATATTGGATTAAAAAATTGTGTGGTCATGTATTCCTTTAAGTGAAAAGATCAGTACAAGTCTGGCTAAGCTTAAGAAATCTATATATTACTAAGTTAAGTAAGTCTTAAAATAAACATTTTTTTGTTTCTCCAAATATGAAATAGTTATTTACTTTAAATTTAGCCACTATTCTATTGTCAAAATAATGTAATTTTATTACTTGAATAAAGTAATATATCTAGACATTCAATAGAGTTACAAATAAACAAACCTGTTCATATTCATGCGCCACTTACACAATTGTCTCACCACAAGAAATCTCCCTCCCTCCCTCCTTTTCATCATCATTATCATCCCAATCGTTACACTTCTTTATTGGTTTCTTGTGGTTGAATGTAGAATCATATCCGATATTCAGAACTCCCAAACTATGGTTGAATGAAGATTCATCTGATATTTCAGAACTCCCAAACAACAATTCATTCTATACAAAAGTCACATATTTGACAAATTTGGTAAACTAAGTGTGACCCTGAAGGCAGTCTGTTAACATAGGTTGGTGTCTCAAAGTCTTTAAACTGTAGAAGTAATCTATTAACCTTTAATGTAAGTGTCTGAAAAGGATTGCCTCAGTATCACTAGCTGTTAGATAAGGCTAGGTGGATATTTAACATACAAACCCTCACATTTAGGTGGGGTTCATTTCTTTCCCATTAAACCCTGACACGATTTGAGAACAATTTTACTTATGGATGGTGGCGACGAGACTTGATCCCATAGCCTTCTCATCTGTCCACATCAAAGAAGTAGTTGCTAATGACTAGTTTAAACTGCAGCTGTGTTAGTTTAGATCTTGGAAGTCATGGTGGCTACAGCTGACCTTGCGACGGGTTTATCTTTTGATTATTCTCTATTGGTTTTCTTGAATGAAGTGGTTATGACTTCATTAAATTTAGTTTCCATATGTTAACCATAGAAAAGTCTTGGATTAGTTTATTTGAGTGTGGATTAAACAATCCTGTTTTCTTGAAAAGAAAATTAATGTCTAATATGACTTCATGTAAGAACTTCCTCCCCAAATTGATGTTAGTTTGTGGTTGAACTTCTGATAAAAGTAAGAATGATGGTAGTTAAGAAAGTATAAGTACATAGAGTAATGAAACTTCTAGACTGTTTTAAAATTTTATTACTGGAAATATGAAATTAACAAGAACGTTTAGTTTGGGTGAATGAAGTGTGTAATAGTTTCAGTTTTTCATTGAAATTTTCAGTAGTAGTAGTTTGCTCCTCATTTAGATGATACTTCTCCACTTATAAATTACCAAAGTCTAATTAAGTCCTTGTTTGGTTTTGCTAAAAATCTGATATTTAGTAGATTTTGATGAATATTGATGAAATGTGTGGCTGAAAAGTTGATAAAAATTTTGGGTCCCATTAAATGTGTAGTAAAAATTAATTGTTGATTTTGACTTAAATTTTTATCGACCTTTTTAGCTAAACTAATAGGGCCTAAATAACAGTTATATTTAGCATTTGACATAAATTTTAACTCCAAAGTTATTGAATACGAGATTTTAGTTTGTTGTAGTGCTAAGGTACTTCAAATGAACGAGCTTTTACTTTTTCCGTTCAAGCACCAATCGATCTTTTTAACCCCAATTTTCGTGCAAGAGCGAACCTGAGGTCGAGTAACTAATGTTTGGATAGTTTACTTCTGGTGTCGTTCTATGTTATGATTAGGGACGTTGTTTTAGTTACAAAGTTGTACAAATAAAATATTAGGTAGTGGTGTGAAGAGTAATTTATTTTTAGCGACTGTAAAAAAGTTCCTTGGCTATTTAATGTTTGCTTCTTTATACTGTGTAATGTGTATAATTACGACCCTAGATCCACTATGCAGGGAAACGATGTGGGAACTCAATACAGATCTGGAATTTACTTCTACACTCCTGAGCAAGAGAAGGCAGCTTTAGAATCCCGGGATAGACAGCAAAAGCTCTTGAACAGGAAGATTGTTACTGAGATTCTGCCAGCCAAGAAATTTTACAGAGCCGAGGAGTATCATCAGCAGTACCTGGCCAAGGGAGGGCGATTTGGTTTCAGGCAATCGTCCGAGAAAGGTTGTAATGATCCGATAAGGTGCTACGGCTAATTTCCTCAAAAGATATATGTGTGTGTGTTAATACTTAAATATGTTTGCAGTCGTGTTCGCAGAATGAAAATGTACGGTTTTACTCGAATACCTTGCTGTTGCATTAGTGTTTAATATATGTAAATCCTTTATACAGATCCAATTTGTTCATCCTTTATACAGATCCAATTTGTTCTTGCATATTGACAAGCAATGAAATTATTGCTCTTACTACAAACTTGATGCATGCGCTAAATTTTCTTTCGTGTGCATCTGCATTTACCTGTGGTAAAAGTTTTGACTTTGTTCGGTCTTGTTTGATACTACGCTCTCGTCGGAGTCTCATTACATTAAATTTCATTACATTCCATTTTTTCTCCTATTTTTAACCACACAATCTTCCATAAAATAATATTACACATAAATAAATTTTTTTTTTTCAACGACTCATTTTTTCAAAAAACACTATTTCACTCCTTTTCATCTCCAAAAAATGGGAGCCAAATGGGGGCTACATAGCAAAAATGTGCTCGGAAGAGTAAGGTATGAAGACTGCGAGTCTGCAATTGAAAAATAATAAATCATTGTTGGAAAAAGTAAAATATAAAGATCAAAGATTTTTTGGAATGTGTATTCTTTAAATTTGCATATGCTCTTTATTGTAATCAGTACACACTAAAAGAAAAGAGTCACTTGAATATGCTTTAAGTCTCATTAGTTACAAGTCTTCAACAAGCCGTTTTGGGGATTGAGGATAAGAGTGAGCCCTGATACTGTTTCATGGGTAACGTTTATGAATTGGTAGATATTGAGCATGTTTGGCTAGGCCAAAAAGATAAAAAAGCTGATGTATCATATTCTTATATTATTAATAAATCATAAACATATATCTTATTGGATTTTTCTTCAATGAAAACAAAAACAAATTTTGCAGGTAACAAAATATATACTTTGACTTTCTTGTGCCGAAATCTCGTGTTAGCACATTTTTGGCAAAGCTTTTAACCATATATTATTTAGAACTTGTGCTTCAAAACACTTGAAAATTTAGCCAAGCAAACAAGCGCAAATGTTTTATTTTATTTTATTTTATTTTATTTTATTTTTTTTCTGTGAAAGGATTTCAACTCTCTTTGGACTGTGTGGTTGGTTAGATAGTCAATGCTATATTTTCCACTTGAAAAATGTGATCCACTTGTGAGAGAAGAAATCAAATATGACGACTGAAATAATGAAATAAAAGTCAAAAAATCAAATTTTTAAACCAAAAAATAACCCTCAAACAAGCTGCTAATCAAGTCCTAATTTGGACGTGCAAATTAACATGAAGAGCAAACATGGGCAAATTCATAGCATTTTGTGACTCGTAAATGCTCTATATCTAGAGAAGGAGTAGCTCGGTTCACAGAGACCCCTCATTGTTTGGGGACGGGCCCCACATGTATTTTAAGGAAAAAAATTGTGAGGCCCGTGCCCACGTCTTTCTCACCTGACAGGGGTATGCCAATCATATTTCTTGGAAGGGACATACGTATTCATTTCTCTAAAATTGGACAAGGTTCTCAAATCAAAATCTGAAAATGTTAAAACTTAAATATTTTAAATCATTAAAAGCACATAATCGACATATTTTCTGTGTCGACCTGCCTTTGTTTAGCCATGACTATTTCTGTCACCAGACTTCGACGGCCAACGATCAGCGCCGCCACTGGAGCCACCACTTCCACCACCAGCGCCACCTCCATTTCCACCAGCACCACTTCCAGCTCCATAGCCACCCCCACGAGCACCACCACTACCGTAACCAGACCCGGAACCCGAACCTGTTCCAGAACCATACCCGAACCCATAACCCCTGCCGAACCCATCATCCGCAGACCTCCCGGAGCCCGAACCATAACCCCATCCTGCTCCTGGGCTTGAACCCGATCCCCAACTAGACTCCCAATTCGGACCTTGCGCCGACACGCTACTGCCAGAAGGGGTAGAAGGAACAGATGACATTCCCGGCGATTCAGTCTTCCGTTCGCCGGAGTTGAGCTCCCGCGAATGGCCGGGGATGAAGAAAAGCATAATGAGAATGATTTGGAAAACTTGGGGTTCCATTTTTTAGGTATGGCTTGTGAAAGTTATGCATGGATAGTGGAATTTATAGTGCAATTCGGTTATTACACTAATGAATTGCGGGGAGGAGATTTTAGATAATTCTGTACATAATTATTTTCACAAAACAAAAACATAATCCTCACATCAGATCGGCCCCACCACTGGACCTCATGTGTTAAAAAATTATAAAAAAATCCTGCCCCACCCATGCATGAGTACTCTGTAGGAGTTCTGTAAAACAGGGTTCTGTACACCCAGCATCTTCGTTGTTCAAATAAATATTTATTTAAAAAAATAGACGCTACAGTTTTTGAAATATTTAATAAGTCCTTGTTTGATAGTCATTATTTTGAAAAAATGAAATTTTGAATAATAATTTTTTGAAAGATTCATTGTTGAAAAGTAGGAAAAAATTTGATGTTCGCATGTAAAATATTTTATTGTATAAATGTGTAATTAAAAAAATTTATTTTAAAGAAAAACAAACAGGGACTAAATCTTAAAGCGTAGTCCATATAAGAAAAAATCCAAATAAATTTAAATTATCTTTTATGCACAAGACTTGCAATATTCTGAAGACGACAAAACCATTGAAGGATACCTTTAATTTTTATCTATCAATGACCAAAAAGAAAAATGGATATAGAAGAGTGTTTTTAAAGTGAATACTGGATATGGATATTTATTAATATAAATTAAGTGTAGACTATCAACAAAAATTGGAGCCAAAAAAATTGATTGTAATCATAAAGACTAAAATTGGATTTCTAGCTCGTTATTTGATACAATAGAATTATAAGAATTAATATTTCAAATAATAAGTTGTCACATATGATGATTACTGCAATCGCGACTATGAATAACATTGTTACAATTTAAAAGTAAAATTTTAGAAGCTATAATTTATTTCCATCAACAACGCTGTTACCATGTGGTACCGATTCTTCTCTAATCAATTCTATTTAAATTTATAAAATACTTAAAATAGTTATAAATTAACTAATAACGAGACTTTCAAATGCAATTCCTAGTGTTTGAAACTCTTAAAGTTAATTGTCTCGATGGTCATTGAATTTATGTTTATATTTTCAAATGTTTACTGAAATTTAAGATGTTAAGTATTGGTCATTAAACTTATCAAAACGTTGGATGTTACTCACTACCTTAACATCCATTCTAATTCTTTAATGAAATTAGTGATGTGGCTAACGAAATATACATGTGGCGCCTCATCACATTGTTAAAAAACTGTTACGTTTTTTATTGCTTACTAAATTTTGAAAAAAATGTCTTTAATTGTTTACTAAACTTTGAAAAATGTTTTCGATTACTCATAAAACTTTTAAAATATTTTTGATTGATCACTGAACTTTGAGGTGATCGAATTTTGACTATAAAACATATAAAAATGACGTCGAGCTCTTGTTCGTTAAAAAATATGTAGCATAATCGTAACGATCGCATAAAAGTAATAAAGTGGACGAGCGAATTTGAATTGTCGATTCCACGAGAAATGATTACTCAATTACGCAATAGTTAAGTTTAATTTTAAATATTTTGTAGATTTTTAAGCTATTTTCATGATTTGAAAAATTCGAATTTAATGTGTGTTTTGTTGTTAAAATTAATTAAAATTTGAATTTTGCAACAAAACATAATAAATTTAATTAAATGAATTTCATTCACTTTTGATCTCTCCAAGAAATGGATTGTGTTTCGTTATGAAAATCCAAATTCTAATTATTGTGTGTTTGGTTACAAAATCTAAATATTAATATACTTTTAACAACGGAACATACAACAAATTTGAATTTTTCAAAATGATGAAAATAGCTTAAAATTCTCCCAAGAAATGTTAAAATTAAATTCAACTATTGTGTAATTGTGTAACAATTTCTCGTGGGATTGACAACTTGGACTCATTGTCCACTTTATTACTTTTACCCTACCCTTGCAATTGCTACATATTTTTTAATGAACAATAAGTCGACATCATTTTTAAATTAGTGGTCAAAATTCGACTACCTCAATGTTCAGTGAGCATTGAAGATTTTTTCAGAGTTTAATGAGCAATCAAAGACGTTTTTCAAAGTTTAGTAAGTAGTTGGAGATATTTTTCAAAATTTGATGAGTAATTGAAGACGTAACAATTTGTTAACAGCATAACAAAACGCCACTTTAGCCGCACCACTAATCTCGTTAAAGAATTGGAATGAATGCTATGGTAGTGAGTAATGTCCAATGTTTTGATAAATTTAGTGGTCAAAACTTGACATCTTAAATATCAATGAACAATTGAAGACATAGAAATAAGTTGAGTGGCCATTGGGACAATTAACTCAAACTCTTACTATAGTAAATTGGAGTGCAAAGGATGAGTGCTATGTAGGAGAGA